GTGTAATCCAAGGCTGTAGATGAATAATATTTCTGAGGTTACTGTAGATTATTATTGTAAATAGATGATTTAGGCTTTTTTTACATTATATAAATATTTCATTGTGGAGGGGAGGGGGCTTGAAAAAATACGAATTGGGTGTATAGGGCTTTTTTAGTTCACTAATAAGGTAGCGCCGGTTATTAGCTAGGCTGCCCCTGCTGACGAAGTCTAGTCACGCCTATGAGTGGGGGATATTGTAGTCGCTGTAGCAACGACCGTAGGCTGCAGCACATTACAGCCATAAATATTCGATAAAATTGAAATTTTTAGGTTAAAACTGTTTGGCGAGGGGAAGAACCGATGAGAAGGCTACAGTCATAACTAAGGAACGAAATTCTCACCACAGAGAAAGGGGAATTTCGACTGTGCAACGTTTTTTTGATTTTTTTGATATCAGGACTGAAAAAAAAGTTATTTGAGTTTGAAAAACGCAAACATAATGAATTTCGAAACAGTAAGAACTTTTTTGTATTTGTGATATCGAAAAATTAAAAACAACGTTGCACAGTAAATTTTCTCCTTATTATGTGGTGAAAATTTCGTTTCTTAGTTATGACTGTAGCCTTCTCGGTTCTCTCCCGCTCGAAACGGTTTTGACGGACGAATTTGCCATATAAACCGCAAAAACAAATTTAAGGTACAGTAAGTAAATCATAAAAATATTTCAAAATAACAGTTTATTATATCAATCAATTGATAAAAGGCACTTGTAATGATTTTAATTTATAACTGATAATTGATATATGAACATCAGAACATGCAATTTTTATTACATGATATTGTTAGCCCCGGGAATCTATATATTAAGTTTTTAAATCAGTATGACCTACAATAGACATAAATATTGAAATGCCCCACGTTCCCCTAAATACGAATTATGCATGAATCTAATTTTTGTTTTACTCTAACTTGGTCAGTTTTTAAAATAGAAGAAAACTTATAAAAAGTTTAAAAAAAATACTATGCCCGAATCTGCAGTAAAAAACTGGGGTTGCTATAAAAAAAAGTAGTCGTATTGCGCATGCGTGTACCAAGAGAGCTAAAAATTTGAAACTGGTCTGAAAATATGTATTCAAGTGTTCCCTATCACGCCCCGAAAACCCCATTTCAATACAAAGACACCCATCTGAGATATTCAGTGCTTCCTAATATTGTGATCACACTGTATACTGTTGTTAAAACCGTTTTATTTATATTAGTTACATATTAAAACAATTAACGCAATCATGGGTAGAACGATTTCTAACCCTGTATTGAAAATCCAAAGGTGGTTAACTCGTTAAAACTTATAAAGTTATTTTTTTAGCTTATTAACTTATTCAATTATAATTTCCAACGTAATTATATAAAATACCTAGGTGTTAGGTATATAGAATACCATTTATATCAATATTAAATATTAATAAAATAATAAATTGTAATTTTCTGGTCACGATGTTGAACAAAATTGAGTAGTAAATTACGAGTACTTACTGGGTTGTTGGAAAATGTTGGGTAAAATAACGTTTTTATTCTAAACTAGCTGATCCCGTGCACTTCGTCGCCCGTTAAATGTATCAACTCAATATGACTCAAACTTTGTTCAATTCATTATTCAATATTCGGTGTATGGTGTTCAAAATTTATCTTATCTTTTCCGTTGCCCGGAATAAAAATTCTGAATCGCAGCAGTACATTATCAGGTAGGCAATCTACCTGCGGTAGATCGCGGACCCCGTGCTGTTTGTACGGAAGTGTATGATTTAACTCTAAAGTATCAAAGTTATACCAAGTTTATTTTGATATAATACTGTGGATTAATATAACAAATTTGGTTGCTCGTAAAAAATCGCAACGCTTAAAAAAATTATGATTGTTGAACTCCTTTTGGGTGTAACTTGCTGCGGTAAGTGCAACTCAGCCACCCTGGTAGGCAATGTTCAATAATTCGATTTGATGCAAGCTTGTACCTGATCTGCCCGAATAACCAATGGCAACCAATAAATAATTGCTAATTTCTAATGTAGACTGTAACCAATGGCAACTATAAATAAATAAAAATAAAATTTCCAATTTTTATCGTGAATCTCAATGTCCCTGTTTCAGCACCTATTTAAAATGCGAATTTTGGCAAATCCTTTCTTAGCGCACGTCTACATCATAATAGCTATCTGTATGCCAAATTTCAGCCAGATCCGTCCAATGGTTTGAGCTGTGCGTTGATAGCAGTCAATCAGCTTACTGTTTTATATATACAGATAACGATAAACGCAAAACTTGGATAACGTTTTAATTCTGAATAACATAATATGATGAAATTAGTAATTTTTTGCATAAAATTTTATTAAGTAGGTAGGTGAGTAATTTGTACCTTTTATTATAGTGAAAATATTACATTAAAAAAACATATTCGTATAAAAATAGAAGCTACGCTAATATCGTTTTTTTTATACTAGCATTTTTATCTATATATTATAAAATAAATTATATAAATATTAAATATTAAATACTTCTTTGAATGAACAATTTAATTTATAATTTATGAATAATACCCATTAATAATAAAGTACCAACCTAAATACTAATAAAACATTATATGTTTACCGTTTATAATTACAGAACTCACGTTAACTTCACCCAGAAACTAAAGTAGGTATTTACATTTACTTAAATTATTGGTTTATTGTAAAATAATTAAACTAACAATAACTATAACTATTACATTTATAGGTATAATAGTTTCAAAAAGTTTCATTATTTCTGTAATAAGTTTATTATATTTTCTAAGGCATTGCATTTGTTAATAGCCATTCAGCGTTTATATACTAATAAATAAAATATATACAAATACATTATATAATTAAAAATAATTAAAAACTTCTTTATAGTTGTATTATTACAAGTCACATTTGAATATTTTTTTATGTTAGGCACCTACTGATGATCTATAACCTATAGGCTATAATATATTAATTTAATAAATACCTATCCTAAGAAGCTAATAATCCTATCACGAATTAAGATTTATGGGATACGGAATGTCACCTCGCTATCAATGTTAATTCAAAGTTGGAATATTCTCAATTTCTAATAAGACTATTAGCGCTTTCACCAGTGGTACAACTATGAGTTCAAATCCTGGTGGTACTACGCAATATTACGAATTATTGCTAATATTTAGATAATACTTTATAATTCACAATTTGTTGTTTCACAATAATTATTGTTAAATATAAACATATTTATGGGCTCAAAAATTCAAAAATATGCATGAAAACCAAATATCTTAATAAAATTAGTAATAATTACAAAATATATTAGGTATGTTAATAAAAATACAATTCAAATTGTCAGTATAATTCTGCTATAAAAATAAATGAAAAATTAATAGAATATGGAAATTGTAATACTTATTATTTTGGATTGAGTTCCAATATGAAGTTACAAAATTTTTTTTATTTTCAAATTAGAAATTTCTGCGATTGTCACGTAGTATAGATTTATATTTCAAGACCGGCAGCACACTCACCTTGCCTCGTCGATGATCAGAACGGGAAATTAAATTTTAAACGCAACTTTTATGTTTGCAATCATATTGAAATATGCAATTGATAGTCAATCCATAGTATATAGCATGCAAAAATATGAAAAAAAAAATACCATAGAATTTACACATTACAATACGTTCAAATTTTGAATCAAAATAATTCTTGGTAAATTGTAAATAAATATACTTTTCCATAAAAACCCAGTCCTTGTATCACAATCATACGTACCAATTATTAGAGAAAAAATGTTAACACATCTTTTTGTAGTAGGTATTTTATAATATTAAAATTAAATAGTTTTAAACATTATTTCCTATCGATATTAGCGAATGTGTTAAATATTTCGTCTGGTAGTGGTCTCGAAATTGAAAGATTATTTATTAAATTTTTTAGTTAGTTCTTTTAAGTTTTACGTTTTGACGATTTAAAAAATTGTATTTTTAAATAGTTTGCTTAGTCGTTGTATTAACATAACAGCTAACTAACCTGGATCGGAAACTTCCAACAATATGTAATTTTTTCACAAAACTGTACGATATTTAACCATAATTCTGAAAATGCCCTACCTGTTCTCATAGGTATTTTTAAATAAGTCAGTGACACTATTAATAATAATTTCGGTCTTCCCGAATGTAGCCGTTTTGAACTGTAATTTGTAGTACTGTACTGAGTATGTCTATAACTCCTAAAAAATCTCTTAAAACAATTATTAAAATTATGAATTTACATTTTATAATTTAAGATTTTAATACAATAACAGTGTATATATCTAATCAGAATGTAAGATAAGAAAATCTATGATAAAATAATATTTCAAATCACAACAACATAGAACACGGTTGTGCTCAAAAGTTGGGGGGGGGGTGCTTAAGCACCCCCGGCACCACTATAGTTGTGCCACTGGCTCCCACAGTTTGATTGGTCAATCATGGGCCAGGGTCGATATATTATTATGTACCTATCAATTCTAATTCATGAATAGTACAAAAACTATCCACCGTCGATAATCACCCATTGCTATGAGTCAAATTTTAAGTAGGTAACTTTTATCATCAACTAATCAAAATTCGTTCCTTGTCCTATATACTTTAATGTAATCCTACCGATAGGTATTACTGATAGGTATTTGAAATTTATCACATTATAAGTAACTTCAAAGAGCCTATGTACACGTTTTAATAAACACATTTGATGCTAGATAATCGTCGTAAAATATTGTTGTACACTTGCAAATACCTCCTATTAGTTTTATTATTATTATTATCGTTATTATTCTTGTTAAAGAATATCAAATAAATATAGAGTCTTTATAGAACTATTTCTAGATAATAGGTAGAATATGTATGTAGCATATAAGCTAACCCCTTACCAGACCTATACATAAATTGCACATAATATTATCTGCTTACACATAACTCTTTTTTTATATAGAGCTCATTCAACCCATCTGTTTGCCAGTCTTATCTCATCATAGATCAAACAAGTTATTAGACTCTGCACCGTTTGTTGCTGGATGGGGTTCCGAATCACTTAGTAAGTCGACCAATGCCTTACATAAAGAGTATCTATATACCTAAGTCATATTATTTTATATATATTATATTATCAATTTGGGTGTAATAAAATATTATAACTATTGTTTAGAGGGACCGCTGTCTTCTGTCTTAATGGAAATTCAAGTGCCCGTGATAGATAATGCAGAATGTAAACGAGCATATTATTACAGCAAAAAAATCATTATCGACGATAGGATAATATGCGCTGGATCGGGCGAAAAAGACGCTTGTCATGTGCGGATCTTTATAATGTGTATTGTGACATTTTAATTTATTTATAATTTTGATTGTATTTCTAGGGAGATTCTGGAAGTCCGTTGATGTGGCCAAGTGGTAGTCAATATTATTTGGTGGGTGTTGTGTCCGCCGGATTTAACTGCGGTGTACCAGAATATCCAGGTGTATATACTAGGGTGTCATATTTTGTCGACTGGATTGTAGATAAAATGAATAACAGTTAAATTGTGTTGATCGATTCTGTTTAAAATTAAATATTTCTTTTAAAGAGGATAAGTACCTACCTACTTTATATTCGCCTTTATTGTTACAAAAAGGTTGTAGGACACTTTGTACGGTCACCCACAAAAAATGAAAACCGCGGACAGCTTGTACTATTTCAAAAAGTAATTATATATATATGGCGGACAGTTTGTACTATTTCAAAAAGTAATAAAATATACATGGCGGAAAGTTTGTACTATTTAAAAAAAATGTTTAATTTGTTATTACAAAACACAGGTAGTTAACATATATATAAAAAAAAAATAATAATAATATTTATGGTAATAAATTCGTGGTACGTATTTTATATACGTAATATATATATTTAAAAATTAAACGTATGGCAAATAATTTCGAGCAATTGTAAATTAGTTATTATTTTACTTTCATGCTGTACACAGGCATCACGAATTTTCTTTTGTGTATTTTGGTTTTTATTTCTTGTGTTTTTGTTCAAATGACTAGAGCATTCGTCTAATTGCAAAGACCGCAAAACAGTCCAGAAACTTGGATTAACCGATCCAACCAATTTATTGAACATCCTTCACTAAAATTATTCGTCCTGTGTGAGTTCTTAATTGTTTGGTGTCTGACATTCCAAATTTCAAGAGGAAATCTTGATGCACCATTCTTTCCGTTAATATATGTTGATTCAAAATAAAATATTAATGGAAATAGTTGTGGAGTAAAAGAACTATCAAAAAATATGATAATAATATGATTTAGGTATTATGAAAATAATATGATTTTTAACTTATAACTCACCGGTTCATTAAGGTTTGTTATTGTAACTTTCCTCGTACACGTCACTTTATTACAATTCCAACGAATATTAGATTGATTTTTTCTTAAAATAGTATATTCTACCCATTTTTAAAAATTTTTGGATTGAGTTTGCTAGTTTGATTTTTGTTGATTTTATATAGTGAATAAGTTAATATTTTAATACTTTAATGCTGTGGCCTGTGACACCATACACACAGTGGCGCACACTGGAGGGTTCAAGGGTAGCAGTTGCTACCCCTGATTTTTTTGGTAGGTGGGTGGGTGGACCCCCTGGCTCCAAAATATTTACATCATGAAAATTCTATTACGTATAAAAATATTGAAAATAAACTATTAAATAATTATAGGCTATAGCCATTAGTCTATTAGCCAATATAGAGGTAACCGAATCAATTTCCCTATTTATTTTTGAGTGTGCGGCACTGCATACACATGTCTCATACTGATCGCGATCATGATTCGCAATCTAAAGTTTTGAGCAATTAAATTTTATCTCATCTTTTAAGGTATATTTCCCGGTTTATTTATACCGTACAAAACGTCCGCGATCGATTTTTACCAAATTATTTTCACCGTACAAAGTGTCCGCGATATGCAACTCAAACAATAGATAGTACAAACTGTCCGTTTACCTTACAAAAATGGTATTTACTAAACTTACAAAATTATTATTGTTTGAAATCTAATTAAAGTCGTTTATATTTTATAATTTTATGTAAGTATTTAACGTTAATACGAAATGAAGGTACGCAAGGGGAAAATGTTAAATTGTTAACACATTTTGAACTTACTAATCAATCATAGACCAAGACTGAAATACTCTTTCCTACAATTGTTAATAATAAGTATAATTTGCATAACTAAATGTATTTACCTATTTAATTATTCAGTAGGTACCTAATCATTGATGAATATTTTGGTTAAAACATAAAAAAAATTTTACATTCAATATTGTATACTTGTATCAATTTTAAATTCTTGATTTCCAATTGTATTCAAATATTTATTAAAATGCTGTTTGGGATTTTATTTTATAGTTTATTATAGTTAATTATATTAATTATAATTATAGTTTTTTTAATTATCACTTACGTATTAAACTTCTTTGTAAGCATATATAAATACTGAAATACAAAACATAGTTATATATCTATAATTTATCTGTTAACTGTATTCTGTGCATAGAATTAATATATATAGGTACCTATGTTGTTTGATACGCCATAATAAAGTTATTGTGAAACAAAAATTTTAACAAAAACCCAGAATAAAATTGATGCCGGGTTTCACTTAGAAACTTAACATTTATAGTGTATACCTAAGTACCTACATATTATTATATAGGTATTCACAGTGGCGGATTTAACGGTCGTTTAGTCGGCAAATGCCAACGGGGCCCCCTCCTAAATTGTGCACTGAGGCCCACCTAAATTATAAAGTTGATTTTTTTTTAGTTTTAACCAAAAAAAAAAGTAAATTTCAAACTGTAATATAATTTACCATTGTTTTAATAATAAAATAGTTTAAATGTATAGGAATACTTCAAAAGTAGAAAATATTATAATTAAATAAAGTAGAAAAGATCGAAGTAAATACCTACTCATAGGTATACCTACGTAAATGGTAAATCTAAGTTACGTATTCTACATTCTACCCACTACCATTGATCACAAATAAGATTATTTATAATTATAAATTAATATATAATATAATTCATGATTGCATGAAAATAAAAACAATAATTTTGTAAGTATAATAACAATCCTTTTATTACTTAATAAGCAGCGTAAATCATGATTTCTTGGAAATCGTTTTCGCGATAAATTCGTAATAAATATTGAAAAATGTGGTAAACTGGGCTGTGCATTTAATTCGTTTGCACTATGTTTTTCATATTATTATGTTTATACATTTAACGGGTTAGGACATTGTTTCTTACAACTGCTATACAATTGCTATAACTATAAAGTATTGATTGAAATTTAAAATAAGTATTATTATTATTAAATTAAGTATAAAATTATAAATAGAGGCAAAGAGTAATTGCCTCCACACCACCAATTCACTCTCCAACCTAGCCGACCGGTCCGTCTACCGTCACTATTGTTTTTGTGAATTATAATATAAAATAATAATTTTATCAGCGAATTTTGTGTACATAGCAGCTCCTAAAATTTGTGTGCAGTGCAAAAAGTGAAGTGTGTAACTCAAATTAAACCTTTATAATAATATGAATAATTTTATGACTTCACTTTTTTTATATATATTTGCATGGTTTTTCGTCAAGCTACATTTTAATTATAATCTACATTCTATACACAGGAATTTTATATACCTACTTTTAATTTTGTTTTATTTGTAGAAATAAATAAAAACTTAACAATTTTTAATTAGAAGATTTGTTACTATATTATTGATTATTGATTGATATTATTTCTAGCGAACGAAGAGAGATCGGTTTTGTGAAATGGGAATAAGTATGTTACTGATAAATTTTGTAAGAGGCCCCTCTTATTGATTTGCCGACTTTCTTTGAACCCTTGCCTCCGCCACTGGGTATTCATAATCTTACTGTTTTTAGAACTTTAACTGATTTCTGGATGACCAAATAACGAATCCGGAATTATTATAGGACACAAACATCGTACAAAGTAAAAGACAATGTTAAAATAATGCATTTATCATTGTGGTAAAATGTTGTACTATTTATGAATGATTTTATTTTAGATTCTGAGTGGAACGATGAATGTATTGATTTTACAAAGATGTGTGTTTTTATATTTTTATTTTAGATTCTGAGTGAAACGATGAATGTATTGATTTTACAATGATGTGTGTTTTTTTATTTTTGTGTCTGTGTACACGATAAGTAGTCGAAATAATGCTTCGATTTTCGACTTCAGTATCTTGTTCGATTGGAGAGTGAATATCGTTGGTGCATTGGGGAGGTCAAAATTTAAAATTCCCAATAGTTTTCACAAGCGCCGGGAAAAACAACATAAAAATGAAGGAAAAACGGGAATTTTTACGCAAAATAGGTTTTTGACAAAATCGGAATTTGGTTTTTGGTGTAACTTTAAAACATATGACTGTAGGAACATGAAATTTTGACTGGTTGTTTATATTTGCCTTTTCTATACACGATAACATTTTCAAAATATTTTGATTTATTATGAACTGTTTAGGGACATTTTCATTTTCCATTTTATTTTAGTTTTTTTTCTAAAAATATCAATAAAACTTTGTTTGTTGAGTAGAAATACTTGAAAATTTAATACAAGGTTCCTACTATATTGTTTCAAAGGCAGATGAAAAATATTAAAAATCGTTAGCTACAGTTTTTTTTTATAAGCATTTAAAGTTCAAAAATTGACAAATCACGAAAATTAGCAAATTATTTTGAGTTAAGTATTCGTAAAAATTTTTCTTTTTAAATCTAAGATTTGAAAATGTAATACAAGATTACTCATAAGTTTGTCTACCTTTATCAATAAAAAAATCTCTACCGGACAGTCAAATTAAATTTTTATGAGCGTTTGAAATTCAAATTTTTACAACATTGGATGTTCACTCGATTTCTCATGTAGCGATTTCCTTATTTTATTGTTATTCATAAACGAATAACTATAGATACATGAAAATTTCACTGAATGTTTGTATAAGCATTTCCTATACACCATACAATTTTGAAAATATTTTGACTCTTTTTGAGCTGTTTACGGATATTTTCATTTTTAAATTTTTTTAGTTTTTTTTTCTATGAATATCAATAAAGTTTTATCTGTTGGGCCAAAAAGTGTAAAAATTTAATACAAGGCTCCCAGGCGCGGATACAAGGGGGGGCATGGGAGCAATGGCCCCCCCAAATCTAAAAAAAAAAGATGAGGCCGGTGAAAAAAATAATAACATTGATAATAGAATAGATCGAATTATTCTTATTAAATATTTCTATATTAGATTATAATGTTTCGTAAAATTGATATTGGTTTTCGGACAATTCTATTTATAGAATTTTCTGTAATTTCTAATTGCGTCGGCGACCGGCGTGGCGTAGGCTAACGATGCCGTGACCGTTCACGTTATCGTCATAATCGCAGATATTACATTTACCATTAATTCTATTGCTACAATATTGAATATTATATAACATTATCATTTTTCTACAGCGTTTAAC